TTTGTAAAAATTCAATAAAAACTTATTTCTGAAAAAAAAAAGAATACCTGAACAGTGATTGGCTGCATGCACTATTCATACAGCAATTTTCCAACATTTTCCTTTCTGCAAAAGTCAATCTGATGAACTTCCGTTGAGGAGATAGGGCCACCCACAGATCAAATTTTGTCCAATTCCTTCTGACTTTGCTCCGTGTGTACCCACCTCAAGACGGCAGCTGTAAAGAATAGGAGGGTTTCGTTCCACTTTGGCAGATAGATGTTTTTCTATTTCCTTTTTTATTTTGTGAATAAGCTCCCAGATAGCAAGCATAACTTGCCACAAACTTGTGTCAGGGTTAAATTGTAATTCGTGTTAACTTGCTGCACACATTCCTGGCAAGTTGTAGACTTGAAGAACACTCGCAGCACAAGTTCTAGTTGACACTTTTTGAATTTGTAGCAAATGTGCTTGGCAAGTCTACAGCAAGAGTCCTGCAGGTCTGGTGCCCATACACTGCTCGATTCTCATACGAGAATCGCTGGAAGTCCCGCGATCGTACGAGAATCGTGCAGTGTGAACGAAGACGTGCGACCGTTTCTAATGTACGGTCCCACGTCTTTTGTCTAAGGAGCACGCTAGAAAACCAGCCGAAAATCGTACGATTTTCGGCTGGTTTGAACGGTGCTGGGGAGACAAATGTCGAACGGGCCGGTGTGCGCACACGCACACTGCCCGTTCAGCATTGCGGTCATCGCAAGCCCGCCCCTCAAGGGGGCGGGCTTGCGATGATCGAGAGTACAATCTGCCTGTCCAAGATGGGCAGATCGTACGTTTTTTAAATTACTTTACAACCATCGCAAGATTAAGGTCTTGCAATGGTTTTAAAGTGTATGGCCACCTTTAGCAAGAGCTCTGCAAGTGTACAGCACTTTTGCAAAGCACGTTGATCTGGAGACTCGCACTGCAGACTTGCTGTCATTGTGCAACCAAATTGTGAAGCTTGGCAAGTCTGCAATAGTTTAGCAAGTCATTTTCAAACTTGCAGCTCAATCGCTTGCTATCTGGGTTATTATCACCTCTGGGGTTAGGTGGGGTTCATGCACACTAGTGCAAATACAGGTATATAGGCATACAGCATAAAATGCAGCAGTGTACCAACAATGACTACGCAAATGCAAATATGTTATGTACTGGTGTAACATATGATATTTAACCATGTCATGTAGACATGTGCATGGCAAACAAATTCATTTCGGATTAAACAAATGAAAATTTAAAACATTTTCATTCGTTCTGTCAAAGGAATCGAATTTTGATGCTGTTTTGGATTTGGGGGCTTGTTACCTCCGAATCTGAAACCACACAATGGAACTGCAGAACCCATGTGCGCCGCCATCTTGGTGTATATTTTGGTATACATGAAGGAGGCGCCCAAACATGCGCATGACGTCACCCAACGCCATGCACACATGGCGTTATGTGACACCATGCGCTCTGCCTCCAAGATGGTGGCGGGCAGGTGTAGAAGGTGTCGGTGGCCGATATGGCCGTCGTCTGTTCTGCAAACAAATGTATGTATGCCCGAATATAGTTTTCGTATATTCGGCCATATGATAAATTTATTATTTCGGACGAACCGCCAAATCAACTGAATCTTGTTGATTTGCAGGTTTGTCTGAATCCCAATGCAAATGTCTAATGTCATGCAGTGTTTCAGTTAGGAGATCCCAAGCATGTGCAGACATGCTGTCGGTTTCGGCCAGGGAGATCTAAGTTTTCTCTTCGCATGTGCAGCCATGCCACTGTCCTCTGCCAAGTCTATGGGACCTAGTAGAGACCCATGGCAGATCTGTGGATGCAAGGGATCTCCTTTGAAGATGGTGGTGTGGGAGCTGAGTGGAAGCAGAGACCTTTGCCTGCAAGGAAGACAGCACTGGACTCCATTAACTAGTAATATACACTGAGTGGCCAGATTATTATGACCACCTGACGTTTGTAGGCAAATTAGCTATAATTTTGCGCTGAAGTTGCTAGAGGGCCAGACCATTATAAATAGGGAAGCAGGTATGTTTACCACGACAGTAGAAGTTATTTTTTTTCTGAAGATATGAGTAAACAACGCGATTTAACAGCCTTTGAACGTGGGATGATTGCTGGTGCTCGGAGCCATGGAGCGAGTATCAGCAACACAGCAGAATTCGTTAAATGTTCAAGAGCAGCTGTTGTTAAAGTGTTTAAAGACCGGACTGTCAGCCGAAAATCTGGGTCTGAACGTGCGAATTGTGGCCGTCAGCGACTAGTCAATGTTAGGGCAGAACGGAGAGTGGCAAGACTGGTACAAGACAACAGAAGGGCAACAGTGCATCAAATGACTGCAGATCTTAATCAGGGATCCTCTCAATTGATCTCTGAACGCACTGTTCGCCGTACACTGCATCGTGTGGGATATGGAAGCCGAAGGCCTGTCCGAACACCTTTGGTGTCTGCAGGTAACAAGATAAAACGTCTCCAATTCGCACAGGAACACAAGGATTGGACAGTCGAGCATTGGAAAAAAGTCATGTGGTCCGATGAATCACGTTTCCAGTTGCATCATGCAGATGTCAGAGTGAGAATTTGGCGGGAACAGCATGAAAGCATGCACCCCACATGCATGAGTACAACCCTTCAAGCTGGTGGGGGCAGTGTTATGGTTTGGGGCATGTTTTCCTGGCATGATTTGGGCCCTTTCATTCGCGCGGAACAACGTCTGAATAGCACAACATACCAAAGTATCGTTACTGATGAAGTTCATCCTATCATATTAGAAGGCAAAAGGTGGCCCAACGAAGTACTGATGGGATGGTCATAATAATCTGGCCACTCAGTGTATATATTTTCTTATCTTCCCAACGTGTTCCTCCTCCTTCATTTCCTACCTTATATACCTCACTTTTCTGCCTCCTACTTAATTTCCCTCATCTCACTTTTCTGCCTCCTACCTCATTTCCCTCATCTCACTTTTGTGCCCCCTACCTCATTTCCCTCATCTCACTTTTCTGCCTCCTACTTAATTTCCCTCGTCTCACTTTTCTGCCTCCTACTTCATTTTCCTCGCCTCACTTTTCTGCCCCCTACCTCATTTCCCTCATCTCACTTTCCTGCCTCCTACCTCATCTCACTTTCCTGCCTCCTACCTCATATCACTTTTCTGCCTCTTACCTCATCTCAGTTTCCTGCCTCCTACCTCATCTCACTTTTCTGCTTCCTGCCTCATTTTCCTCATCTCACTTTTCTGCCTCTTACCTCATTTCCCTCATCTCACTTTCCTGCCTCCTACCTCATTCCCCTCATCTCACTTTTCTGCCTCCTACCTCATTCCCCTCATCTCACTTTTCTCCCTCCTACCTCATTCCCCTCATCTCACTTTTCTGCCTCCTACCTCATTCCCCTCATCTCACTTTTCTGTCTAGTCCATTTCTTTCCTTTGCTCACTACCTTTCAGATGAAATCTTTAAGAATACAATATGATTGTATATATGTTTAGTTCCTGCTTCCACTGTTTAGGATTTTTATGTTAGGAACAACCTTATTTTACTTTAAACGGTTAACAATGCCATTGCTTTTGTTCTAAATTTGATGTGATGGCTAAGCTGTTTAGGCATCTAGTGTTCTGTGATTCTGAATATTTGGATATACTCCAAGCATGTCCCCGTTATAATGTATCTAAATATATTGCTGCATGTCTACTGAAGGTTCCAGTAGTTGGGTCTCAGTGTGTCCGTGCCTGTACTGGCTCTGAAGATTGACTTTAAATTGATCAAAGAATATAGATACAGTATATAGTGTTTTTTTTTTTTTTGTTTCTATTTTAGCATGTTGTTACTGTATGAACCAATATGTATGTAACTTTATCTTTTGTTACCTTTTTTGTTGTTGCAGGGCACAGCCGATGACAGTGCATGTCCACACCTCAGCAGGCCCAAAATTAATTTGTAGTGTTGGCTGTTTTCAACGAAGTGGTTGCAGAATTAGTAAATTAAACCAGCATTTCTCACTTTTTATTTATCACGGCACCCTTTAAAAGTATGCAAAATTTAAAGCACCACAGTCTAAAAGGTAAATACAACATAAATGTAAAACGTGTGGCCTCTCTAAAATCCTTACGAGATCCTTATCCCAGCTAAGGGTCTGGTATGGATTTTAAGGGGGGGACCCTATACAAAAACAAAACATGATGTTCCCCATTGACATCAAGAGGGTCCCTTCACATCTGAGTCCCCCTTCACATCAGAAACGTGCCTGCGCCATGAAAAGGCATGATGCTATGTGAAAATTTTGAGGCACCCCAAGGAAGGCAGAAGGCACCCTGATTAGGAAAGGCTGAGTTGTACTATAATGCTACCCATTCCTTATTTTATTTTCACCAAAATATTTAGGCCCCATTCACACATGCGAATGGGGCAGGGTGGTTAAGTCACAAGAATTGCTCTGTGAGACTCATGCGAACAGTTTGCATGTAATCAGACATGCTGTGAGTACTTGCAGACGATTGCCTCTGGAGGCAAACTGTGTTGAGGAGATTATTATTATTTAATATTCTTTATTATTTAATATTTTTAAATTCATTACTATATTAAAAAAAACACTTGGAAAATGCAAAATATACAAAGCTTTCACATCATTTTCCTGAGCATATTCATTTTATACTATTAGTGAAACAAACATGTTATAGTTAGCTATTCGCACTCAAATGGCGTTATTACATCCTCCATTTTAAAACACAAAGAATAGAGACGAAAAACCCAAGAACTTGGCTCTCCACTTATCCCTCCATATTTTGTACCATATACAGTACACAAAAATGAAGCAAGCGCCTCCGAAACTCACATTTACCCAGGATACCCCTCCATGGGAGAGACGTCACTTCCTTCTAATCGCTGTTACGAGGGGAACTCTCCAAAACATAATAAACACAATGGAAAATTTCATATAAAACATGCATGCAGCACTTTAACTTGTAGGCTCACATACTATCCCTTTTTTGAGTTCTACAACACAGCTCTAAGTTATTCAAAAGTTATTCACTGATATCGTATTTGAATAAATCGAACAACTTTCAAAATACTCAAGGTTGTAGAACAATGAGTGAGCCATTTATTTAAAGTGCTGTATGTTTTTATTATAATTCCATAATGTAGTTAAGAAAGATTAGGAGGAAAGTACACATCTTTCTGTAGAAGTGTCCTGGATAAATGTGGGTTTTGGGAGGGCTTGCTTCATTTTCACATATTACCGTTTTTGTGCACTTGGTGGAGTGCCTTTACAGGGAAAGCTCATGGCTCACGCCTTTACATGCAAAGCCCTTTTTAATGCTCTTCAGTTAACGGTATAAAAAATTACAACCTTTGGACATCTTGAATTTGATCAAATCCCAAAATGTTTACTGAGCATGTACACCTTACCATGTAAAGGCAGGGTACATTGTTTACATTTGTTTTTCTAGATTCACTTCCTGAATACATTCTCCCTCTGTGGGTATATGCCGTTTCCAATATTCTGGCCTTCTGTATTATATGGGATAATGCTGAATCCTTAAAGTCTAGTAAAATCCTGTTGTTTGAAAAATGCTGGATAGTCCGAGATCTATTTATTTGTATTACAATAATTTGCCAATTAAAAACATGCTAGTCTAAATATTTAACAAACAAGCAACAACATGATAAATATAGATTTTTTTTTATTGTGTTAAACTGGCTTCCTGGTTCATTTATTTGGATTTGATGTACTTTCAGTTAAATGTAACCAGTTTTAGATTTTTAAGTGCAGATCTAATGCTAGCAATTTAGCAAATGTATACCTTGGTCATGTGGTTCTTGGAGTAGAAAAAAGAAAGTTTACCAGAATAGCTAAAAGAAAAAAAAAAAAAGAAGTATGGAGGCAAGCCCTTATAGTGTGGTACTTTGTAGGAACAACAGAACAAAAAAATTATTTTGGCCAAATTTGGAGTATTAGACATCTTTGCATTTGTTGGATAGATGAACCTACCACTGTGGAGGCTGCGAGTAGCCATAAGTTAATGGTATGGGCAACCTTTGAGTGATTGTGGAGAAAAGAATGAAAATAGAGAAAATGGTTGCTTTCAAAGCCCAGCCCTAGATCCACTTTAGAAGGGGGGGGGGGGCCCAGGAGGGTAAAGTACAGTGTGGATATGAGTGGAAAAAGCCAGAAGGTGGCTTGTTTTAACAAGCCACCAAGGCTTTCTTTTTGTATCTAAAGCAATTTAGGTGCCCCCCCCTGGATCTATGATGGTGGTAGGTTTAAATATATAAAGTGTGTTTGGTCGGATTTATCTGTTTATCTGTAAACTTGTTTTGTTCGAATCTGGTTTAGATTGTTGGCTTCACCTTTCTGCTAGGAGGAGGAGGAGAGTGGTTATTCTGGAAATTTATGTCTGCATTTTTTTCAATTTTCTATTTGCTTTAGCAAAGTAAACGTTAGTCAAATTGGATTTACATCTACTTAAAGATCTTAAACTTTTTTAATGCATTAAATTTAACTCATGACGCATGCAAAAATTCCAAATGTTTATTTGTTTTTGTATATTAGAAAACTGAACTAGTAAATAAAAGCCAAAATGTATACAGATTAAAAAAAGAAAAAATTATGTAGGGATTTACATTTTTTAATGGAAAGCATGGTGTATAGAATATTTGAGTGATTGTGGCGTTTACCTTTTAAGTATTTTTTTTATGGGACTGTCAAAGCAGACTGTCATGCTTAATCTTTCATACATTAGTTATTGTGGGGACTGGTTAATTACCTGCTAGAGAGCACTTTGTATTAGCCTCATCCATCCTTGCTTAAAGGGAACCTGCCATGAAGGAATTTTGTGAAAATTCTAGCTGTCTGGTTTTCATGCCAACACCCCCCACACACACCTTCCCTTTTCTGAAATAGTTTAAACTACAAACCTGAAAGTAGTATGTAGAACAAGAGATGAAAGTGCTCATGTCAGTGGGCTATGGTTAGCATAACAGCCAGACAAATAGCAGATTTAGGTCTTTTCTAAGCAAAAATCCGGAAAGCAAAATCCTTTATGATGTATTCCGTAAACCAGTGCAAGGGGGAAGATATTGCAGTTTACCAGTCCTGCATTAGTTTTGTTTTTTTAGGCTTTTTTCCTTGTTTTTTACCTGGTGATCTGGCAAGTAAGGGGTTGTTCACACCAGATGCAGTCTGTTCAGTTTGGCAGTTGCATCAAAAACACATCACAATGCTTTCTTATGGGATTTCTGGTGCTCTGCTCACACCAGTGCAGTCAGAAAAAAATACTGCTTGCCCTATTTTAGCTGCATCAGAAAGCGTCAAAATGCATCACAAACGCATTTAAACGCATCGGAAGGCATTCGCGATGGGAAAAAAAATTGGAAGTGCTCAGACAGGAAGACGGAAGTGACATAATGGTCTAATTTGCATTTAGAAAAAAACCTGCATCGGATCATGTCAAAATCGTGGAAAAACCGCAGCACACTGCATTGTACTGCAGCTGCGCAGATGCACGCAGTTGTGGTGCAGTTCTGGTGTGAACTAGTCCTTAGTCTTATTTTTCAACTTTTATTAAACCAAGATGTCCAACAAAAGTGGGCATAAAGAGGAGACAAACCATTAACACTGACAGGTGCTTCCAGCGGTCATCTTTTATTCATTTAATGAAAAAAGGATTGTTTCTCTAACTGCTTACTAGTGACACTATACTCAAGCGTTAAATCTTAACAATGCATTCAAGTACCTGAACAATTAACAAAAATGTAACTTACTTGTGTATCACTCGGCTGTAGATCCTCCAATCATCTCTGAATTTGTGCCGACACTGTCCTTCCTTCTGGAGGGGGGCTATTTTTATTTCCCATGATCAGTGTGTGTGTGTTGTAAAGTAGCCACCACTTCAAGCTCACTCCCGTTATGGAACACAATCTTACAGTATGTTTAGATTACCAATTTGTATGGAGATTGTAGTTCATCACAGGAGTGAGCATAGAACGGTGACTACTTTACAGCACACACACAGGGACCATGGGAATCAAACGTAGCCACCCTCCAGAAGGAAGGACAGTGTCAGCACCAATTCAGAGATGATTTGAGGATCTACAGCTGAGCGATATACAAATAAGATACATTTTTGTTAATAGTTAGGGTACTTGAATGCATTTTTAACATTTAACTCCTGAGTTTAGCGTCACTTTAAAAGTTATAGATGGGAGTTGAACTTTAAACCAGGGCTGGACAAGTCCCCAGAGCCAGGTAGCCCATGGATGCACAGGACACCCAACTTTTGAGAATTTGTGAATGCAGTAATCCCCTAATAAAAAAAACAAAAACAAAAGTCTGCTGGCTCCTTTTTAATTTGTCCATTCCTTCTTTCATTTCTTAGTCAGTGCCATCTAAAACGACCCTCTCCACAGGGCGACAATGCTGCTGTCTAAGGCTGGCTACATTGATACTCCATGAAGTGGAGCCACAGGAAGTGTGTTACTGGATGGATCTCCAGGGGAAAAAAAAAGAAATTGACCACCACATTTAAGGACTGGCAAGGTGCAATATATTCAATTTTTGTTTATGAGTTTAGGTACGCTTTCAGAAAACCCTATGTAACAAAAGCACACTCATACACAGCATGGCCTGATCCTACTATGTGCTCATTACAGATCTTCTCCATGGATAACAAAGTTCTTCACCTTCTTACTAGATGCAACATGACAACAACCTTTTTTGAGTAAAATAATCTTTATTTTGTACCAATATATACATTGCATTAAAAGTCAATGATGACCTCCTTTCAGTTAATGCACACACAGTGTACATATCAAGAACAAAAAACAACGCAAGCAGAGATGTGCTTATAGCTGAACTCCAGGTAGCTATAAAAAGATCACGATTTAATAAAATTAAAGTTCTGGAGCCTGTCTTTATTTTAGCTTCCTGTAACCTGCACTGCAGGGCTCAGAAGAAGGGCCGTGTGAGCCATTCAAGATCCACTCGGCTGTACAGTTCTGTCTAACACTGGGAACTTGCCGTGAGAGGGTGAAAGGGGAGATTTAAGTGAACAAAATGATCCTTTTTTGTGTGGCAATGCTTCCTTATAGCCCAGGCAGTGGAGAAAGGTGAGGTCATTGACCTGGCAGGGTGCCCGGAACAAAAGAGGGGCTGATCCGCATTACAAATCTTTTGTCAAATAAGCGTTCCACCAACATTCAGCAATGTTTCTGGAGTTCAGCTTTAAAAGCTTTTTTCGGAAAAGACCAAAACATCAATATGTGAAACATACAATACAAACCTTTAATCATATACAATACAGATAATACAGAAAATGGTTTAATGGACTAAAGCAGGGGTGGGGAACCTTCAGCCCTCCAGCTGTGGTGAAACGACAAAATCCCATGAGGCATTGCAAGATTCCCTCAGCCATAGACATGACTCCCAGGGACAGAGGCATCATGGGATTTGTAGTTTCACTACAGCTGGAGGGCCAGAGGTTCCCCACTCCTGGACTAAAGCAAAGTATATATCAGTATGCAACTATGATATCATCAACCAAAGAAAAAACATTTATGACCACATCTGCAAGTGTAGTATAAATCAATATGGCCCGAAGAATTCACTCTGTATAAAAATAGAATTGTGAATAAAACATGGGGCATTTACAAAGACAGTGTATTGTTATGGGTATAACAATCCCATTTAGGTGCAGCACCAAACACAACACCATCATATAGATAAACTCGGCATATGTTCAACTTGGCTCCTTTTATTCGTCCCACCACTGCTTAACAGCACAGAATGACTGCCTAACATACAGTAAAAAGTAGGAGACAGGAAAATTAAGGTTCAGACCACAGAAGTCAACTCAATGCTAATTTTTACTTTCAAACCAGCAAACACTGGGGGGAAAAATTAAATAGAAAAATGAGTGGTATCTATGGGCAAAACCATCTCTTTCTTTGCCTCCATTTTTTATATAGAAGCCCAGAAAGGTCTAACTGCTGGTAAAAGTTCAGAACAAATCTCCGAAACATAAGATCTACAGCTGTAGTCGTGTAGTGAGAAAAACAGAGAAGCTTGTGAATTTAAAGAAATGCTTAAGTGACATTACCATCCAACATTCCAAAATGGAAAAAGCCTTGGTAAGAACGTGACAGCAAAATAGGGGGAAAAAAGGCATGCATAAAAAAAGTGCCATGCACAATTAGAGGTTCTAGAATGTAAAAGAAAGGAGGGCTAAGTGGAAAGGGACCTTTCACATTTTCACTGGTACATATTCCTGTAGGAAACCCATTTGTTCCCCAATGAAGCTTCATATACTTTGTCTTAATTCTTCTATTGCACAGGCAAAGCTCAAGTGAACATAAAATGTTGTACCAACACCACGTCAGCCCTGAAAGACATTTAAACGAAAAAGACCGTTAACAACTGGTTGGGAAATGTAAACTATATACAACTACATTGAGCCTATGAAGGTGGAAGTATGCCAATGTGGGTTTAAAGCTGCAGACTCCAGTATGGTCATCCTGAGCCCCAAAAGGGTTAGTGCCTGTATTGACAGGGCTTAGGTTTGGGTCACTGACATCAGTCTGAGATGTTTCTGAGATCATTCACAATGTATTTATAGGTGCATTCGACCCACATTTAACTTACTTCAAGCAGTTTTCTGCATTTTCATTGAGTGAGAATACACAACCTGTTTAAAGCCAACAAAAGCTTGTTGAAACAGGTTTGCAATTCACTGTTCAGGAACAGACATGTGCAAATTAGAGGATTTGTTGCAAGCTTGCTCTGGGGTCAGCGGCTCATTAATTAGTCAAAGAAGGAGGACAAGGGCCCTAGAGCTGTCATTTTTAGGACTAGCAGATCCTCGCTTTCGACACTACAAATCCCTTTAAAAAGAAGGACCCATACTGTGCCCATAGCAGGTAAAGTAACTGGTTCACTTATAGCAGGTAACGTACGCATCCTATACTTATCCTTCCCATGCTATAGGATATAAACATCCTATCCTTCCCATGCTCCCCGCTCTCATTTGCTCCAAAAACTACTGTTTAGTTTTGACTTAAAAACTTAGAGGGCTATTCTCCCCTGACCTTAGGGATAGAGATTAGCCATTTGGCAACTGGGCACTGTACCGTGGAAGGTAGGGCAATTGGTCACTCATTCACAGATACAGAGTCTTTTTCAGGCTCAAG